TATTTTGTATGACTTTTGTAATTGATAAATAATACACTTAATGACTTACGCTTTCTGAAATTCTTCTACCTCAGGTATCGAAGGATTGATCAACAATTTTGTTGTATCAAAGGCATTTGTGATCTGCAGCTTTCCTGAAAGAATAACATATATATAGCAATGGAATGAGATTATGGTGGTCTTTTTCATCGAAGGTAATACTTTTACTCTAAAATTATACCTCTGTAGGTTCCAATTTTAGCAAATCGTATAATGCATATAACAGGTTCACCATTAGCATCTTGACAACTGCTAAATAGTTCCTCAGCATGTTTTTGCCACAGACAACACGGTATACGCTCATCACTGCATAGTTAAAACTAACGTTTAGGCAACATTCAAAAACAATTAAGACTTATAAAACTTAATCAGGGTAAAGTAAAGATATTACTTAGTATCTCGTAGCTCAAACTCAAATTTTTTTCTCTCCTTTCCATTCACTTACACACCTTCGAGGTCTTTGACATCAACCACTTGACCAATAACGTCTGAAATTTTATGTAAAAAATTATAATGAAGCAACATAGTCTAAATGAAAAAATATTTACTATATTCAAATTTACAATACTCACCAACCAAAAAACTGTGATTAAGTGAACCACCTAAAATGGTATCAAAATCCACGAGTTTTACGAAATCTCCCGTTTTCTTCACATTACACTTAGTGATAGATGTGTTATCCGTAAAAGACATCTTGTAAGTGTGTTTTGTTGGTCGGTACTGGCCAGATGCAGATGATAATGAAAAGTTTTCAACAACTTTCCATTCTCCAACAGGAACCAATCGCTCAACACGATGAACATAGTTTTTTTTAACAAAAATGCATGTATCATTGTACCCTGAAATATAGAAAACACAATTGTTAGTGTAATTATATAATTTTTCCAAATATTTTATGCAATTAATAATTAATGTTTTCATCTTATAATTATCATCTTACAGATTCATCAGCAAGAATGAGCTCCAATGATCCACCGGATTGAGCAGTGTATTGCTTCCAGGAATGCACGACTTTGACACGGACTCTCCAACCTGTTTTGAAAGGCTTGACATCGGAGAGGTTAGTAAAACCAATAAGAGAACTCTTTTTTTTTGACCTGTTCGTACAAAGTTTTATTTAGAGTGCTTTGTGTAGTTCGAATGAGTTATAGAGCTAAATCGAAGTATGTATTTATAGGTGAAATGATTAGTTTAGGTTGTTACAACTTGAAAATAGAGAAAATATACGGAATATTAGATTTCATTAGATAAATATGGAATTATTCTCCTAAAAAAGTATATTTAGTTAACAATATAGATTATTGATCGTAGATTTTACGGGATTGATAGGAAAATGGAATATACTATCTTTTTAGAATCATAACGTATTTAATAAAAATCAGTAGCTACTGGATATATTGTAACAGAAAATATAGTTGAAAAAGATATAGAATCATAGAATCATGAGTCACGGGAAGCTCGTGTTGCTTGTTTAGATTTGAAGTTAAAAATTTAAACAGATTTAGAATGGCGGGGATGTTAAAATATATCCAGATTTTTTGATAAAAATGTTTTCGACCAAGTTTACATAATAGATTTTTTGATAAAAATGTTTTGGACCTCTTTTACAAAGTTTACATAATAGAATATGATTTTGTATTCATCATTCTAAATGGCCATGTACGGATCATTAAGTGTATGATTTCGGTAATAGAACTTTGGAAAACTATAAAGATTATGTATTAGCAGAAAGAATTGATTATAGAGTGATTGAAAAGTGATGTTGTGTTTCGTATATGTTATCCATGAAGCAGGTACGAACAGGTTCACCAAATTCATCAAAGTCGAAAGTAAATGGCGGGCTTATGATCATTAGTTACATGTTCGTATAATTATGTTCATTGGTGTAGATGTATAATTATGTTACAAAGTTTAATCATATTGTTAGTATTAATTCATTAATGGCAATTAAGGTAAATAACACGTTAGATAAAGGTTATTTATAAAAAATAATCCTCTTTTAATAGTGTAGATGTGATATTACAAATCAGTCCTTAGTCAAAGTTACTGAAATTAACTAAATAAAAATAAATTAGTAAAAGTAAAAGAAATAAAAGTAAATAAAATTAAAATTTTTTTAAAAAAATGAATCATCGATTCCTCTCCTGCAGCTGAGCTCGAGCATCCCCGCGAGAGCTCCTCCCTCTTCTCACCCAGGCTCTCTTCTGGTTTCCAAGCTCCTTCCCTGAGCTTCTTCTCCCGTCATCCTTTTCGTCCAACCTAGATCCACTTCGTCCGACCCATAATTCCAGTCCTCTTTCTGCCATTGTTGAAGATCTCATATTTTGAAGGTGATTTCTTCTTTTTCAATTAGAGTGTAAAATTAGGGCTTTAGGTTTGAAAAATAAGGGATTTGGGTTGGTAACAATATATTCTGGATAGATTAAGTCATAGGTTCGGTAATTTGTGAGAAGAACGTGGTTATGTTAATCAGATTCATATGCAGAACAATGAAACTCGAGCTCGAAATTCCTAGACTTTTGATAGGAAAAATGGTACAACTGGTACAACTGAGAGCGAACTGGAACAACTGAAAACTTAAGTTCAACTGATACAAATGAGAGCTATAGTTTAACTGGTACAGCTGAATTCAATTTAGTTCACTTTAGTTCAATTGAGCTCAACTAGTACAAATGAGAGGTGTAGTTCAACTGGTACAACTGAGTTCACTTTAGTTCAACTGATTTCAACTAGTATAACTGGTACAAATGTGAGGTATAGTTGCACTGGTACACGTGAGTTCAATTGGGTTCAACTAGTACAAGTGGTACAAATGAGAGGTGTAGTTCAACTGGTACAACTGAGTTCAATGTAGTTCAATTGAGTTCAACTGGTATAATTGTGGTACTTTGTGTTCAATTGAGTTTAATTGTGTTCAACTGATCGATTATTTTCATTATATTTTCAGGAGAGCATGAGCACCAACCACACAAACATATATTTTGACTATGGATGGAGTTATTCACGTGATGGAGAGTAGTTGAAATGATTTACAAGTAATTCCACCTATGCTATACCATTTAGGAACTTATCATTGGAGGAGATAACTTACTCGGCGTTAGTAGATAAGATATGCAGAAAAATATGGTTGACAGAACAGCACATAAGAACTGTTTTGGGGTCCATACTTATAAGTCAGATATATAGTGACTTATTCTAGAATGCCGCCAGAAGAGTCAAGGCTGTAAATGGTATTTACGAGCTGCAAGGTTTAAGAAATAGGATGATTTCAGTGTTAGAGTATACAAAAAGATGCATATATGCTCTCGTAGAAGGAAAGGCATCCCACGATTAATAGCATCTGTTTTGCAGTGCAGTTTGATTTGTGTGTGTGTGTTTTGTAATTCTCAGTTTTGTACAACCATGTTAGACTATGTACATCTATGAATCTATATGTGTTTCAATTTGTATGACCAGGTTTAACTAGGTACAAGTATAAACAATTCTGAGTTTTATTTTGTCGAATTCGCACTTCTAGGTTCAACTGGGTACAACTATTAACATTTATGTGTTTCTTATTTTCTGATTTACACTACCAAGTACAACTGAGTACATGTATGAACAGTTACATGTTTGTCTTTCTCGAATTCGCACTTCCAGGTTCAACAGGGTACAACTATTAACGATTATGTGTTTGTCATTCTTTGATTCACATTTTTAGGTTCAACTGGGTACAACTATTAACGTTTGTGTGTTTGTCTTTCTCGAACTCGCACCACCCGATGCAACTGGGTACAATTATTAATAATTTTGTGTTTTTCTTGAAATTGCACCAGCAGGTGCAACTGGATGCAACTGGGTACAACTAATATCAACTTTAGAAGTGAACTAAACAATTATTAAAGTTACAAGTGATGTGAATCAACTAATTAAGACCTATAAACATATTTTCAACTATAAGGAAACAATTACTAATATAGAGAATATTAATTTTTTTATTTTGATACAAAATCATGTTTTCACATCAATCACCCCTTACAATATAAGGAAGATATCAATATTGTTAAGCCTTTTAGGATTAAAAAAAATCAAAATGTTAAATTCTTCATATATTGTACTATGAAAACGTTGTAAATAATTTTTAATGGTCCAAAATCATTTGTACAACTACACCATAATAGTTTATGGGCAGATTCAACTAGAAATACAATAAAAATGCAAAAGTACAACTATTAGGAATTTGGTTCAACTGCTTGCTTGAGGACAACTAAGTTCAATTTATTTTGGAAAATTTAATAAATTTTCAGTTTTCCGCCAGCAGGAAGATTTGCAATATTTTAATTTTATTTTCAAAAAGTCCACTTTCCCAAATGTTTCAAAACCCTAATTTTTTTTTTGTTTCTTCGACTTAGAGAGAGAGAGAGAGAGAGAGAGAGAGAGAGAGAGAGAGAGAGAGAGAGACTATTCCGAGAGAGGAGACGAGAGAGACAATTCTGAGAGAGGAGACGAGAGAGACGAGAGAGAGGAGATGAGAGAGACGATGCTTCAATTTTTATTAAAAAAATAAATTAAACAATTATGAAAAACCATCATTCGTCATCAGTTGAACTTAATCAAACTCAGTTGAACCATAAAACTCACTCAGTCGAACCATGTATTTCAGTTGTACCTCGTTACTTATGTCATTTGTTGTATTTAATAAAATCCAGTTGAACTTAATAAAACCCAGTTGAACCATAAAACTCACTTAGTGGAACCATGTATTTCAGTTGTACCTCGTGACTTGTATCATTCGTTGTACTTAATAAAATCTAGTCGAACTTAATAAAACCTATTTGAACCGTAAACTCACTCAGTCAAACCATGTATTTCAGTTGTACCTCGTTACTTGTGTAATTTGTTATACTTAATAACTCAGTCAAACTTAATAAAACTCAGTTAAACCATAAAACTCACTCAATCAAACCCAGTCGAACCATATATTTCAGTTAAACTCATATTCAACTATAAAAAAATAATTAATAGTATGAATAACATTTATTTAACAGTTTCAATATATATATTTTTTATTATCACATCTTACAATATAAAAAAAAAATACTTATGTAATATTATCTTCTAAATGTTTCTATGAAAACGTTTTAAATGATAATTAAATATGTTATGCTTCCATTCTTCTTCGTACATACACCCATCCTTCCACAAATACTTCTCGGATCCGTTCGGTAACCCGCAGGAGAAAGTTCCCATACAGAGATCTCCGTTTGGTAACAGTTTCTCCACGAGGCATGGGAGTAACTCACCTCGTGGTTCCTTGAGTAATCAATCGTACCATCAGCGTGAGAGCTAGTAACAACAAATCGTCACGTCTCTCTTCCTCTGCTTCTCCTTCTCCAACTCCTTATCCAACTCGTAACTCATTTCATGCCTACAAAAAAAACATTTAGAAATAAGCAACTAAACAGCCAAAATCGACTACCAAATCGTAACATACTCAATAACTGTAAATTATACTGCCTCAAAGATACAACAAAGATCAATTTGTATGTCTATGTAACATATATCAGAATCTTAGAAACTTTAACTAACTGCTATTGGGGATACACAAACAGAAATTACTGAAATAAAGATCAATGTATAGGTCAAAGCTCCATAAATTACAAAAAGTCAAGTAAATTGAGCCATATTTGAAGAAAACTGCAGTGTCTTTACCTATAATTCACAGTGTTTATGACATCAAAGAATAACTTAACGGGTTTCTGCAAAATATTTCTTGGATCATCTAAGTTTTCAGAATTTTCTGGAAAATTACAAAAGAAATGCTAGTGTAGAAACCAGAAAAAGAGTAAGCAATTTGAATGTCCTCACTACACAGTCTGGTACAAAGAGAGACTCATATCACCAGCAGAGAGAGAGAGAGAGAGAGAGCCTATGAACTAGATATTTCAGGCAGAAAGTATACCGGAACTTTTCCATTCGATTTGGAAATATCATCATTCTGGAAATAACTCGAATCTTAGATTAAATAGAAAAAACACAAATTTTACTTTCCACCGCAGATGACCTCGATGATCTCTCCCTCTTCCATCGCGCCGCTGTATCCTCCTCAAATAACTGACATCTCATCTCTCTCCCCGGTTCCTCCTCCCAAGATCGCATTTCTCTTCCTTGCAAACTCTAATCTGACATTCTTACCTCTGGGAAAGCTTCTTCCATGGCCACGAAGATCTCTACAACGCTTACATCCACGTAGATTCATCTTCCGGTGTCTCTCCGCTTCTAGATTCGTCAATCAAAGCCAAATTCATCCCGCAGAAGAAAACTGTGTGCGCTTCCCCGATGCTAATCTCCTTGAAATCAGATACCAAAACTTTTGTGTCAGATGGACCTCAGTTCTTCGTCCTGAAGAAAAACACGATGGAAAAATAGAAAACTCAATTAAAAATATAAAAATTGTATGATCCATATATTTAATATGGGTTAACGGATTCGGGTGGATAATATTGGTTGGGCTTTGTAATTGTTTTGATTCACTAAGGGTTTGAATGGTATTTCTTACGTTTTAAATTAAAAAAAAAAATTAAAATTTTTTTGTCAAATATGACAGTGGCATATGAGATTTCCTTTTACTAAAAAGTGGCATTTCAACCATTGATCCGTATTTTAGGAGCAAAGAGCTGAAATGCCATTTTAGCAGAAAAATTGATCTGGACTGCCATCCCATGATCTAATGCCACTCTCTCATTTAAATGAGATGTGAAATTACAAATCAATCCTTAGTCAAAGTTACTGAAATTAACCAAGTAAAAATAAATTAGTAAAAGTAAAAGAAGTAAAAGAAGTAAAAGTAAATAAAAATAATTTTGAAAAAAAAAAAGAAAATTGAATCTCGATCCTCCTCCTCCCCCGCAGCGTTGCTGAGCTCGAGCTCCTCCTCTCTCTTCTCACCCGGGCTCTCTTTTGGTTTCCAAGCTCCTTCCCTGAGCTTCTTCTTCCGTCATCCTTTTCGTCCAACGTAGATCGACGCTTTCTCCACTTCGTCCGCCCCAGAATTCCAGTCATCTTTCTGCCATTGTTGAAGATCTCATATTTTGAAGGTGATTTCTTTTATTTCAATTAGAGTGTAAAATTAGGGCTTTAGATTTGAAAAATTAGGGATCTGGGTTGGTAACAATGTATTGTGGATAGATTAAGCCATAGGTTCGGTAATTTGTGAGAAGAACGTGGTTATGTTAATCAGATTCATAATGAAGAACAACGAAAGTCGAGCTCGAAATTCTCAGATTTTTGATAGGAAAAAATGGTACAACTGGTACAACTGAGAGCGAACTGGAACAACTGAAAACTTAAGTTCAACTGGTACAAATGAGAGCTATAGTTCAACTGGTACAATTGAGTTCAATTTAGTTCAATTGAGTTCAACTAGTACAAATGAGAGGTGTTGTTGAACTGGTACAACTGAGTTCACTTTAGTTCAACTGATTTCAACTAGTATAACTGGTACATGAGGTATAGCTGCACTGGTACAACTGAGTTAAATTGGGTTCAACTGGTACACGTGGTACAAATGAGTTGCTTTGGAAGTACTATCCATGAATAGCGAGCTGTTTGCTCACTAGGCTAGCGAAGGAACTGACATTAGGGAAAGAACTCCTGACTCTCGGGGGCCAAATAGCTTCTAGTTAGGCCTTCCGTCCGTTTCGGATTGGTCCTGCCTGCCTGGGGGGGGGGGGGCATCGAGCTGTTCGCCCATTTTGGGAAGGCGGCGATCCTGCTTTTGACGAGGTGTAGTTTAACTGGTACAACTGAGTTCAATGTAGTTCAATTGAGTTCAACCGGTATAACTGTGGTACTTTTTGTTCAATTGAGTTCAATTGAGTTCAACTGATCGACTATTTTCATTATATTTTCAGGAGAGCATGAGCACCAACCAAACAAACATATATTTTGACTATGGAGGGATTTATTCACGTGACGGAGGAGAGTTGAAATGGTTTACAAGTAATTCCACCTATGTTATACCATTTAGGAACTTATCTGTGGAAGAGATAACTTACTCGGTGTTAGTAGATAAGATATGCAATAAGATTGGGATAGATAGAGCTAATGCACACCTGAAATTGAGTTACATTCCGTTGGTAAATAAACCGATCAACGAGACAAAAATTTTCGTTGATGATGACGTATATGCTTATCTAACAACGGTGGATAACGAGGGGCTAAGATCTGTTTTGCATGTGGAGGTAGTCAAAGGTTTAGAAACAAATTCAGTTTCTAAAGCGGGTAGGAGTGAGCAAGCTTCCAAAGTGGATAGTTCATTTGGTGTGAATTATGAGGAGCCAGTTGCAAATGGTAGAGCTGATGATGATGTCTGTAATGCGGTTACTATTTATAGAGCAGTCTCGGAAAGAGAAGAACGTAGGGAGCCGATTATTGAGGAGGTGACAGAGAACGATGGTAATGAATTTACTAATGGGGATATGGAGAACGGTTTCGATGGTATGCATGAATATGTTGAGCTTCCAGGTTCTGCAGAAGTTAGTCAGTGTGTTGAAGAATGGGAAGATGGTACAGGTCTTGAAATTGGTCAAGAATTTTGTTCTAAGGAGGCAGTGCAAGATTTGGTTGACAGAGCTGCACATAAGAACTGTTTTGGGGTCCATACTTATAAGTCAGATACAAGGCGACTTATTCTAGAATGCCGTCAGAAGAATCAAGGCTGTAAATGGTATTTACGAGCTGCAAGGTTTAAGAAATCGGATTATTTCAGTGTTAGAGTATACAGAAAGATGCATACATGCTCTCGGGCCGTTGAGAGTACAAGCACTAGTAGAAGGAGAGGCACCCCACGACTAGTAGCATCTGTTTTGTAGCAAGACTATCCGGGTCAATTTGACACCCCAGTTCCCAAAAATATCGTGAATCTGGTTCAGAGTAGAGCTGGTGTTAGTTTGTCCTACTCTACCGCCTTAAGAGGAAAAAAACTAGCTGTTAGTGATGTGCGGGGCACTCCTGAAGAAGGTTATAGGATGTTATACTCTTATTTGTACATGCTGGAGAAGGTAAATCCTGGAACCGTAACAAGTGTGGAATTGGATGCAGAGAAAAAGTTCAAGTACCTATTCATTGCTTTGGGCGCTAGCATTGAAGGGTTTCAAGCAATGAGGAAAGTGATAGTTGTGGATGCAACATTTCTGAAGACTGTATATAAAGGACAGCTTGTCTTTGCCACAGCTCAGGATCCCAACCATCACCATTACCCCATTGCTTTTGGTGTAATTGATACTGAGAAGCATGACAGTTGGATGTGGTTTTTTGAGAAGCTGAAAATTGTTATACCTGATGATCCTGAATTGGTTTTTATGAGTGACAGACATAAAAGCATCATAAATGCAGTAGCGAAGGTGTATCCCCACTCCCAGCATGGACATTGTATATGGCATTTGTCTTAAAACGTGAGAGGTAAAGTTCAGCATAAGGTGAACAAAGATTTAGTGGCGGCAAAATTTATCCAATGCGCTCATATTTATACTGTGAGTGAGTTCGAAAGGGAGTATGCTGATTTTAAGAAGAGGTTTCCTGCAGCTGCTGTGTATTTGCATGAGACTGTACCGTTGGATAAGTGGGCAAGGTGCTACTTTAAAGGAGACAAGTACAATTTAGACACCAGCAATTCTTGTGAATCTCTTAACAGTGTGTTTAAGGAAGTAAGGAAGTACTCTCTCTTACCAATGATTGATGCGATTGTTGAGAAAATGGCATATTGGTTTAACAAGCATAGGAAGACTGCTGCTGATATGCTAATGTCAAAGAAAGTGGTGCCTTATGTGGATAACAAATTGCATGAACTATGTCCAATTGCTGCTCGTTTAGCTGTGGCTGAGCTAAACAGCTTCCAACTCGAATACACAGTTATTGGACTCGATGGGAAGGCTTACTTGGTGGATTTGTCGAGCAAAACTTGCTCTTGCAGAGGGTTGGATATAGACAAGTATCCTTGTGTTCATGCAATCGCTGCAGCCGCAGCACTGATGAAGAAGGGAGGGAGACCAGCGGATATTAGTCTATACAACTTATGCTCTAGATATTACTTGATTGATACGTGGACATTGGCATACTACAAGACGATTTATCCAGTGCCGAATGAGTCTTGTTGGAGTATTCCAGAGGAAATACTAAATAAGTTTGCTTTTCCGCCTGATTACACCAAAACGCCAGGAAGAAATCAAGAAAACCGCTTTCCATCCACTGGAGAACGTCGCAGGAAGACAAGTAACAGGTCTGTGTCTGGCAGAGGTTTCGCTTTCTATTTTCAGAGCAGCCAAAGTGGCAGCTCAGTTTGATTTATGTGTGTGTTTTGTAATTTTCGGTTTTGAACAACCATGTTAGACTATGTACAACTATGAATCTTTCTGTGTTTGAGTTTGGTGAATTTGTATGACCAGGTTTAACTAGGTACAAGTATAAACAATTTTGAAGTTCATTTTGTCAAATTCGCACTTTCAGGTTCAACTGGGTACAACTATTAACGTTTACGTGTTGCCATTCGCACTACCAAGTTCAACTGGGTTCACGTATAACTACCAAGTTCAACTGGTTTCACGTATAACTACCAAGTTCACTGAGTACAACTATTAACGTTGACGTGTTTGTGCAACTAGGTGCAACTGGGTACAGCTAATATCAACTTTTGAAGTGCAGTAAACTATTATTAAAGCTTCAAGTGATGTGAATATACCAATTAAGACCTATCAACACATTTTCAACTATAAGGAAACAATTACTTATATGACAAACATTAATTTTTTATTTTTATACAAAATCATGTTTTCACATCAACCACCCCTTACAATATAAGGAAGACATCACCAATGTTAAGCCTTTTAGGACTGAAAAACCCAAAATATTTAATATTTCATATATTGCAGTATGAAAACGTTATAAATGATGTTTAATGGTCCAAAGTCATTTATACAACTATAATATAATAGTTTAGAGGAAGGTTCAACTAAAAATACAATAAAATCGTAAAAGTACAACTATTAAGAATTGGGTTCAACTACTTCTTTGGGGACAACTAAGTTCAATTTTTTTGGTAAATTTACTCAATTTTGAGTTTTTCGCCAGCGGGAAAAAAATTAAAAATAATAGATTTTTTTTTAATTTAGAGTTTTCCGCCAGCGGGTCCGACTATTTTTCTGAAAACCCTAGTTACTCTTTGATACTTTTTCTGTTTCTTCTTCGACTTCGACTGAGAGAGAGGGAGAGAGGAGCAGAGAGAGAGGTCGAGAGAGATAGAGAGAGAGGGGGACGATCCAACTTCATTCAACAGGTAAAACTTTCCAATTAGCTTGAATTCCGATTTGCTTTCCAATTAACTCGATATCCGATTTGCTTTCCAATTAGCTCGATTTCAGTTCAGTTTCAATTTTACTTTCAGAAATTCGAAGAAATGGGAAGATTCAGTCCGGTGACCAGTTCCGAATCGTCAGCTGAGCTGGATCCATGCCTCATAGCAGATGGTGAATATGGAATGCCCAAAAAGTGTTACTGCGGTGGAGCCGTTTTCACCGAGACATCCTACACCTCAATCGATCCTGGGAGGCGATACTTCACCTGTCGCAATCGTGATGTGAGTTTAGTAGATTGCATAATTACTAGATCATATTTCTGGGAAAAATAGAAGAATATTTATGATAATTCTTGGGTATTTTTGTGTAGAATGAAGGGTATCATATTCGGAAATGGTGGGATTTTGTGGTAGACGAAGAAATAGAAATCCTACATCATCAGATTACTAGTCTGAAGGAGAAAATCCAGAACAACTTCACAACTGGAATTTGCGTTGAAAAAGCTATTGCAGAGCTGAAGCAAGGACAGGTTCAGAACAAGGAGCTGATTGCAAAGCTGGAGATGCTTATTCAGACGGACAAGAAGAAAATCAGTGTGGAGATGACATTTGGGGTAGCAGTACTTGTGCTTCTACTTAGTTTGATTATAATCTTTTTTAAGTAACTTGTGGATTGTTCTTCTTATTTTAAGACTTTGATGATGTTATTTGCTTTCGGATGAAGATCCTCTAATTTTCAAACTTTGGAAGAGGTCTTCAAGTTTTAACTCAGTCGAACTATGTATTTCAGTTGTACTTCGTTAGTTATGTCAATTATTAATCCTATTGCCTCCTCAGTTGAACCTTGTAATACAGTTGTACCTAGTTACTTATGTCCATTGCTAAACCTATTAAAACTCAGTTGAACCTTAAAATTTTCAGTCGAACCAAAAAGTCACGCAGTTGAACCTAATAGAACACAGTTGTACTAATATATTGCATTAAGTTTAAAACACGTCCTTAAAAACTAAGCCAATCCGCAGCTACAAGCAAAAACCATCAAGTACCAAAAGCCAATTGTCATCATAAGTACCAAAAAACTACTAAACAAACACCATACAGTACCAAATGCCAATTGCCATCATCTATGTACCAAAAACAAGTATACAAACCAGCCATATCACTTGTTTTTCTTCCCCACGCCCTTTCCGTTCTTCTTCCCCACGCCCTTTCCCTTCTTCTGAACGTCACCCTTCCCCTTCTTCTGTCCGTCGCCCTTATCCTTTTTCTGTCCCTTGCTCTCTCTTTTACGTTTTTGCCCATGCTCACTTGGAGTGTAACAAGAAGGTGCTTTCTTTGTTCTCTTCTTCAGAGGTTCGACTACCTTCTCCGCATCTTCCTCCTTCTCATCTGCATCTTCTCCTAAAAGTGTATCTTTTTAATGAACAACAAAGTAACGACAGAAAAATGACAATGCATCAATTAGAGTTAAAACATAATTTTTTACCTTCTTTGTCGTCACTATGGCTTAGAGCAGGGCTTGGAGCAGGGCTTGGAGCAGGGCTTCGAACACTTTCAGGACCTTTGATTCGGTGCTCCTTCACAAAACTTTCTACACTTTTCAATCGGTCATCAAAACCATCCACCTTATCCTTTACTTCTTGTATCACTTTCTCCATTCTCTCCACCGCTTCCTTCAGCCCCAACAACGATGCAACACTTTCATCTTTACTTTCATCTTTAGTTTCATCATTACTTTCATCTTTAAGTGCCTTTTTCGCATCTTCATCTAAAACTCGAGCTGCCAAGTCGATATCATAGAGATCTTTCCACCATATCTTCTTCCCTTTTCTGATTAGATGGTCTCGTCACATCTCAACAATCGGATCAATGAAGCCTATACCATCATCACAATCATCGCCTATGATATGCTCCATCAAAGCTTTCTCATCAGAGTCAGGTTCCAAGATGCTTATGATATCCTAAGAATATCAACAAAAAATAACAATCAAAATCAAACTCATATTAAATACAAAAATAACCATATATAAGTATTATCTCTCACCTTGGTATTTCCAATCGCCTCGTTTATGTCTTCCAGTGGATAACCTTTCATGGAAGTCTCCAAGAACTTGTGCTTGCACATCCTTGGACAGTCCTCCGTGGCAACCTCTACTCGAAACATGCGTTTAAGCGCAGGAATACACTCAAACGCAAAAATCTACACATGCAATTGCATTAAAATCGATTTAAAACAATTACAAAACCATCACAATTAATATTTACCTCTAGAAGAAGAATAAATCCAGAAAATGTCAATGACTCTTTGTCTTTGACGATGCCTTTCTTGAATTTCTTCATCGCCCTCTTCATCTCCTCCATATAATCATTAAAAGTATAACGCCCCCATGGAAATGTCTTGCACAATGTCAAATCATCAACCACTTTAAGCAAGAAAGGCTCTATGTTCCCTTTCACCTTAGATTTCGCTTTCAACACAGTGCATAAGAAAAACAGAACAGCCATCTTCTTCTTATCTAAGCCGCTCGTCAATGACTGCATTTTCTCTTCCACATCTTCGATTCTTATATTGTCCTTCCTTCCAAAAATCCTTTGCACAAACTTAAAATCGCCTTTTTTCTTATCCCTCAAGTCATCATATACCCTCGGGTAGTAGTGACAGTCCAACCCACTTAACAGAGCATGTTCCCTAATGGAATATCTGATCGGTACTCCATTAACCACAAACCAGAACTCCTTCTCTGAATCCGTACAAGCTTGATGAAGTAGCAACATCCACAAACCCATAGGCTTTCGGTTTGGCTCCTCCTCCATATGAAAAATATGCTTGAATTGAGGATGTCTTGTGAACCATGTCGATTCATTTTTCAGCTTCTTTATCATAGACACTGTCTTCACGACAGTACATCTGGATCCTATCTTACATACTCTGGTATATTGATCTGGAGTGAAGTAGAACTTCTCTGGTTGCAATGGTGGCGTTTCATCCTCTTCATCCTGCGAATTCAAACACAGGTTTAATGAACAATTTAATTCTTAGTTGAACCTAGAAAACGCAGTTGAACCTAAGAAACTTAGTCGAACCTAGGAAACGCAGTTGAACCTAGGAAACGAAGTTGAACCTATTCATACGTAGTCGAACCTATTCAGAAGTTGTTGAACTTATTAAGACGAAGTTGAACTTATTGAGACGTCGAACCTATTCAGACGTAGTTCAACTTATTAAGACGTAGTCGAACCTACTGAGACGTAGTTGAACCTATTCAGACGTAGTTGAACCTATGCAAACGTAGTTGAACCTAATCACTAAATCATCCTAACATATTTTCATTCATTCTCCAATATCAATCTCAATTTCAAGGTAAGTAAAAATGCATAAGACTTGTAAATAATACCTCTTTCTCAAGACCAGCTTCTTTTTCTTGCTCTTCCTCGAGAGGAAGCTCCTTTTCTTGGACTTCTTCGTGAGCAAGCTCTTGGGTAGCAGAATTTGATGGTTCTCCTTCAAACAATACCATAGCTAAATCAATGTTTATCTCTCCTGGAGTTTGTACTTCTGGGGTTGGTGAAGCCGTTGCTTCTGCGTCGGTTTTAGGAGGAGGAACGTCCCCTGCGATTACTCCTTCTGTTGCTCCTTCCGTGGGAGGAAGAACTTCTGCGGTTGCTTCGACGATTTCAGGTGGAACGTCCAATGCAACTCCTTCAATTTCTGATTCTCCTTCTGTGGTTGCTGCGACGGTTTCAGGAGGAGGAGAGTTCGGAGGAGGAACGTCTAGTGCAGCTTCTTCTGTGGTTGCTGCGACGGTTTCAGGAGGAGGAGAGTTCGGAGAAGGAACGTCTACTGCAGCTCCTTCTGTGGTTGCTGTGACGGTTTCAGGGGGGAGGAGAGTCCGCTGCAGTGGTTGCTGCGACGGTTTCTCCTTTGTTTTCAATCTTCTTTCTTGGACGACCTACTCCTCTTCCTGTCCTGTATTTACTGCCTCTCACCCGAACCATCTCTGACAATTAAATGATCAAACCATCACCATCAATCCCAATTGAATGAGTTCCCAATTGAATCCCAAATTGGCAGATAAGAGAAGAACGAGATATTTCACAGGACGAGAAGGAGCAGAGAACAAAGTTCTTACCTAGAAACTAAACTCTCAATAGTGAAGAGATGCAGAGGAGAAGAGGAATCAGACAAGTGATGCGGAGAGATGATGAATCGGAGAGGACCCGTGCAGAGGAGAAGACCAATTGGAGAGGAGCAAAAGAAGAGAGGCGGAGAAGTATCGGAGAGGACCTGATGCGGAGGCTCGGAGAAGAAGCAAGAAGAGATTCACGGTTTCTGGTTTCTGAGATTCACGGTGTCTCCGTCGAACTCCGATTTACAGTTTGTAAAAATTAAACAATTCACAACTAGGGTTGAGTTTGGGGGAAAACCCGATTCTCAATTTGTAATTATTTAGATTTTTGGAGGACAAAAATGGATTTGCACTCTTTTTACATCAAAAATAAATCCAAAATAAATTAATTTTTATAACAGTGGCATACGAGATTGAAATTCGAGAAATAATGGCATCTCAGCCATTATTCCGTATTTTAGACTGTTGACACAAGTTTTTGTTTTTCAACCTCTTTAAATTAATAATGTTGAGATTTTTAAAGGTTTATAAAAAATTATTAATTTATAGTAATTATTAATTTATAGATATATGATTTGATTAATAAATTAATTTTGGAATTAACAAAAAAATATTAATTTATTAAAATATTAATAAATAGAATATTAGTTTATAAAAGTTCTATACATGTATCGAGCTTTGCGTTTAATTATCACTAAAAAATTTGTTGCCTTGGGCTTTAAGTTTAATTGGTCTGGTACTGTATCTACTTCGAACAAAAATATTCAAATATTTCCTACTTCATTATTAATTCGTTATCTCCGAGTACAGCACGAGACAGCACGTATCGTGATCTAAAATAAAATATTCTCAAGTAACATCCTGAGAGCGCTTTATTTATCTTAACATATATTTTTGGTAGCCACATATTGAGTCACTATTCTCAAATAGAGCTAACAAAGTCAACGATTTCGACCACATCTTGGAGTAGAGAGTTGGAGTTAACCACCCTACAGTTCAACCTGATCTCTCCTTGTGTTCCTGTAAGAGGTGTAATGTTTCCCATCCTGTTCATCGCCTCCACAAAAGCATTGAAGAACGTTTGTGTGTCATCAGCATAAGCTCTCACCAAGGGAATTGTGTCAGTGGCATTGGAGCTTGAGAACAACTCTTGGTCAGTCTGGATAAGACCTTTTTGTTCCTTGAGATTCACGTAGTATTTGTTGTCGAAAACCGTTGGCGTACGTAGATCAAAATCGACCAAGGCACTTAAGTTACCATTAAGAGGGCATAGTCCACGAAGAGTTTGGAGGTAAGTTGTGTTTAGGGTTGGGTCGGGTAAACCGGTTTCGCTGAAATTGTATAGCCTGTCTATAATGAATCGGCATTGGTTTTTACCAAATGTGTGAGCGCCTAACCAAAGAAACACCATAAGAAGATCAATAATAAACTCGATAATTAAAACTATGTTAAATGGTATTTAATTAGTTTTTTTTGTTAATTACCGGAGAGAGCAACAAGATCGGAAGAACGGTTAAGGCCGACATTTGCAAATTTGGCCTTAAGTTCTGGAAGTGTTAAGGTTGGAGCTGGAAGGTTAGCATTAGCGAGCTGCATAAATGCTTGTAAGCTGTCTCTTCTCCCCAAAGGAACTCTCCAAGAAGGACCTCCCGCCTATAATATAATAACCATTATATTAAAAATAAGTTTTTTCTGGTGTTTTTAGTTATTATTCTTATCGCTCGAAAGTTTAAATGAGTAGACAGAAAAAAGATAATCATGTAATGTAAATTTCATTGATTATATATATACTCAAAGCGTAGTTTTTTAATCTCCGGTATTTCTTATAAAAAATGATTACTATTATAATCGGTTACCTAAAAGAAGTAGTCTTATCTAACCAAACTATATGTTAAGTTACATGGGTTTCAAACCTAAAATCAATTGGCAGTAAATGAATTGGTTCATGCTTCTTATACATTAGTTAGGATCCTTTCCAACTTTCGATGTGGGATATTATCCCTAATACTATATTCTTGTGATGAGATTTAATTTTGTGAATGATATTATCCCTAATACGCCTCTTGGAGACTATGACTACTTTAGCCATTGATCTCGGTAAGATTTGAACAAGGATCGACATACTTTTTTTGGGTCACATATCGATTAGGGATCGGATTGGATTGTTTGGATTGGGTTCTGATATCATGTTAAGTTACACTACCTCCAACGCTATGAAACTCAAATTGAGTTTCCAAATAATAAAATATTAATATTTTAATTTTATTTATTTAAAATATTATTTTGACTCATTAGTTAAATGACACATGTTTTTAATGAGTAAGAGGCGATTCTAAAAACTCTTATATCAGAGTTTGTTTCTAATTTTTTCCTTGTTCTCTCTCCTCTTTTCATTAATTTAATATCTTTTATTATTAAGATATGAAGTTTAGAACCTCCCATTGGACATGGACTTTCAACCTAAAATCAATTGACAGTAAATGGACTGGTTCATGTTTCTTATATATTAGTTAGGATTTTTTCCAACTTCCGATATGGAATATTATTCCTAATACTATATTCCCGTGATTGAAATTTAATTTTGTGAATGATATATATTAAACATGTCAAATTTTCTTCACGCGGCCATGCGTTTTGAATATACCTCGATTAGTTTTGATTTTTGAATGACTTGTTATGTATAGTTAAAAAGTTGATTCTAAAAATATAGATTGTGACTTGTTGATATGTAAAGTGACGACTTGCTGATATGTTAAGATTGAAAAACAGTATTTGTAGTGAATAAAAAAGAAAACGGATCAGTAGAAAACATACCAAAGTGACAGATTGTTGAGCAGCGATGGTGAGCATATCTGCGCATGAAACGGTTCTTGGGCAAGCCCTCTCCACTGCGGCTTTCATTCTATCGATCGCAGGAAATCCCCGAGCCGAATTTATGTTTCCAAATGCTTCTTTCTCTGTTCTGAATGATGTCGTGTTGTCCAACAAGATCGATGCGTCACAACCCTTTCAAAGATCCACAAATATTATTTAACAAATCGTTAGTCAATGTATTACATCCATAGTTCAAATATATATTGTTCCTCGTAAGCAAATAATTAGAGAGATTCATACCAAAGACAATAATTAGAGGTTACATATCTATCTCTATATATGAAAACAAAAGTGATGAGAGATAAACGTCCCCAAAACAATTTTCTATAATAATAAAATAATTTATCAACAAATATTAGTATCTTTCAAGAAATAATAAAATCCATTATTGCAAATTTCAATCAAATAGTTAAAAAGGCATGTGAGGATTTGTTATTTTATTTTTACTTCGAAAAGATATTTTCTATATCCCTCAAATGATTGATGGGATCTTAAATTCATACCGTGTTTGGTACGGCACTATTTATTTTGTTTTGTTTTGAACACACCTAGCTAAATAATGTTACACTGAATATGATTTATCCAGTAACTAATCATTATTGTTGAAATCTTTTGTAAACTTCATAATTAAATTACTGAAATAAACTATCCAAGCCGAAAGAGAAGTGATGAAAAGTAAACATATGACATCCGAATGACATCCGAAATTTTCTGTTGATTAAGTTTTCTAGATCAAAACTGAAAGCCGAATGATTTTTATTTAGGATACCTGAGACCACGTACCGGCTATAACATTTTTATGAAATTGAGTATTTAGTCCTAAAATTTATATTGAAAATCTAAAATAACACTTATTTTGTAAGGCAATATAAATTATAAAGAGTATTATCTTACATTGACAATTATCAGAAAAAAAACAAAAAAAAAATATGTTTCTTACATTGACAAAGCAGTCATGGAAGTGAAGACGAAGGATGCTCGCGGCGATACGAGGGTCCGATCGTAGCTCGTTGACAATGGTGTCTCGTACGATATTAGTGACGTTAGGACATGAACTGTCGTAGAAGGTAGGGGTAAGCTGAGCATCGGACAAAGACGCACGAAGCGTAAGACATGCCAATGTGATTAAGATTGTCCAAGTGGACAAAGTAGCAAAAGAAGAAGAGGAATGCATTTTCTAAGAATAAAAGAAAATGATCTGATTGGGTTTACAAGAGAAAGATGAGGAAGGTCCATATCTTAAGGTATCCTTTTATAGGCTGACACGAGTCTAACTTGGAGGCTTTTTCTATTCTCGATTAAAAAAACACAAATGGTTTCAAATATTTCCACAGACCAATTAATGCTTATTTCCAGACTTTTTTATGATAGTTTTTTTGTTTTAAATTTGAAATTTATCAAAAAAATATAAAAAATGCTTAATATTTTATTTTAAAAATTATATTTTCAGAACCTAAATTGTTTTTTGCCCAAGAAATCTGAAATATGTTGGGCTGAGGCTTGTGATGTGTTCAATTCCCTTCTCTTATTTTCAGAAACTCTAATTTATAGCCATCATTCGTATTTTTTACATGTAAACCAGAGTTTTTTTTATCATGTTTTTAAATTATTTATACAACAAATTGGTAGATTTAGCATAAAACATATCATTGTCAAATCTTAAATAAAATAAAAAGATGGACTCTTTATTTTTTTCTTTCAAAAAGACATATTGCCAAATCATAAAAAAAAAAATTACCCGATCTAATTAAATGTTAAAAATAGATTAGTGCCTAATACGGGTATGGGAAGGGATTTTTTTCTTGCGTGTTATTATCAATTTTTTCATCCAGCAACAAGAAGAAGGAAAAAGGTTGAATAGAGGACCTCACGAACATTTGGCGATCTCAGATGTATCTATATCAATAATGACTAGTATTTAGTATTTACCACTGTAAAAATTCAAGTTCGATCTATGAAAGAATTAGGGTTTGTGGGTTTAAAGAGAGATCTTTATTAAAAGAAGCTGGAGCTTGATAGAATACACGGATGTTAGGTCGTCGGAATAAGAACGCCGACTTAAGCTTTTTTGGAAAATAAAATCGAGAACTAAGAACAATTAGATTGCTTAATTTGCCCTAGGTCTCGAGAAGTGATTTTTGGATGATTTGAGAAGTCGAGGACCTCCCATATTTATAGCTGACCAGGTCGATATTCGATGTATGTTCAAAAAAGGAAAGTCTTTCTGCCGACAAGACCTAAATTCCCTTTTTCCCGGGATCAGTAGATAAATGGAAGATTTCAATTTATTATGCTGACCTGAATTTTGTAGAATGGACCGGCCAGGATTATATCGGGCTTGTAGAGATGGTACGAATCTCATCTCTAACAACCACTAAATATATATATATATATATAATTAGGCCCATATAATTAATTTCCTACTCTCTAAACTTCTGAAGAAAAAATATTGAAGTTTTTACATATTGTAAAAGTTGTTGAATAATAAATGAACTAAGTCTTGAAATACTTATGTATATTGTGTTTTAAATCATGAAAAATAGTATATCGATTCAGCGGAAAAACATCAAATACAGTAAATTAAAAGTTAATTCAAACAAGAATAATCACTATATATATATATATATATATATAATTAGGCCCATATAATTAATTTCCTACTCTCTAAGCTTCTGAAGGAAAAAATATTGAAGTTTTTACATATTGTAAAAGTTGTTGAATAATAAATTAAATAAGTATTGAATTGTCTGATGTGAGTGTGTGTGTTTATATAAGGCTCTTCGAGTGTAATGCTTTGATTTCATTTATGGAGAAAAGAGAGTATGTACATGGTAGATCAGTAGATGTGAGAGGAAGTAATAGTGTCGCAACCTAACATATGGTAGATGTTACAGTGTATAAGAGTTTCGCAACCTTATAAACGTGACCTGATTTGGCCGGTGTTTGTTCCCTATAAATTGTACTACTGATCCCATGTGTCACTATACGAATTCACATCTAGGGATGTGTTATGTACATATGTGAGCTGTGTAGGACCAAAAAAAACTGATATGAATCTAGTCTGATCGATGCGACAATCTGGCTTTCGTTAACTTGTGAGTTGTGATGTATTGATATATAAAAAAAAAAATTTGATGACGATGTGTTAGGCATCATATCTCGTGTATAACATTAGCTATATCTTCTCTCCTTTTTTTTTTCCAACAGCTTAAGTAAGATTTGTGTGGCCGGATCATGCAATCAATACATTAACCCTTTTTTTATTATCAAAAACTATTCAGTATTTGGTATCTATGTTTTTGAATTAAAACTCAATCTACTTTAAAAACTTGAACAGTTGTTAAATGAATATATTCAAAAATTCAAGGGGAAATTGCTGAATATGATTCAAAACTTGAATTGAAATGCAAAACTAGATCTCTTATTGCATGTTTGACAAAAATAACTCACAGGAATAGTGAAATTACAACCTTAACCCTTATGATCAAACAAAAAAATGTCAGTCTCAATTACTGTTTTATCCCAGAGAAGTCTAATCGAGAAGTTAAGTAGACTTCTCGAGTAGACTCTCCAAGAAGTCTACTCTCTATTAATATGTTTACAATTATTTTTAAAAATCATAAAAAAAAATTGATAAAAAAATTAGATACATAACACAAATATATACTTTTTACACCTATTAAAAATAAAATTTGACACAAAATAATCAATTTAAATCATCATAGATAAATTAGGATAAAAATCAATACTAAGAGACTTCTCGAGTATCTCTAATAATTTATTTACCATTAATTAAAAAAATCATGAAAAATAATTTGGTAAAACAGTTATATACATAACAAAAACATATATTTTTTAAACCTATTAAAAAATAAAATTTTATAAAAAATAATCAATTTAAATCATCATAGATAAATTAGGTTAGAAATCAATACTAAGTAGACTTCTCGAGTAGACTTCTCGAGTAGACTTCTTGGAGAAGTCTACTTAAACGAATTTTTTTCGACATATATAAGGAGAGTTTAACCTAATTGTATTAACAATAAAGTCTCTCTCTATCTAGGAAAACGCCTCTCTCTCTTCTTCCTTCTCTCTAGGTATGAATTTCTTCTCCTTCCTCTCTTGCTATCAATATCCTCTCCATCCTCTCTATCTTGCATTCAACCTTCTCTCACTTGCACGTTATGGTAGTGGTAAGCAAATATGAACTTTTGTGTTTCTCTTTTTGTTTGCTTTGTGTTCATATTGCAAATCTGAGCTTATTATTATTGTTTTGAGCTTATTGTTGTAGATCTAAGTTTATTTTTGTAGATCTTAGTTTATTGTTGTATAAATTTTGTAGATTTTTGTTGTAGATCTGGATTTTGTTGCAGATTTAAATTTTTTGTTATTGTTGCAGAGCTGAATTTTGTTGATTTTTTTTGCAGATCTGAATGTTATAGATATAGTAGATTATTATTATAGATCTGCGCTTATTATTATTGATTTGAGCTTATTGTTGTAGATCTAAGTTTATTTTTTGTAGATCTGAGTTTATTGTTGTATAAATTTTGTAGATTTTGTTGTAGATCTGAATTTTGTTGCAGATCTAAATTTTTTGTTACTGTTGCAGAGCTGAATTTTGTTAATTTTTTCTGCAGATCTGAATGTTATAAATATAGTAAATTATGTTGCAAATCTAAATTTTAACATTTCTCTTTTCTTATTGATGCAAATCTGACCTTATTTATATTTATGGTTTTGTTCTATATATCTCAACAAAGCTCTTGCTTGTCTCTGCCGGATTTAAGTGATTTGAAGGTTCAAAACATTTAGAATTCTCGAGTAGACTTTCCGAGTAGAATTTTCGAGTAGACTTATTGACTAGACTTCTCGAGCAGACTTCTCAAGCAGACTTCAGTTAATACATATTTTTCAGAGATTTTAGTTTAGTAGTGATTTCTTATGCCAATTTTAAGATTTATAATCAATGATCCTTAAATGTTTGTTTTTTTAGTGGGTTATTTTTTATGTAATGTTGAATTGCATTGAATGTTTTGTATCATATTCCTAAATTATGTGTGTTTATATATTATACAAAATAGACTTCTCCTGCCTCGAGTAGACTTCTTAAATACATTAACTTTACATAACTTAAAGGTGATTCAGAAAGGGCATTTCTCCCATTTATATCACATAACTTGTCAACCGAGTAGACTTCTCTTGTCTCGAGTAGACTTCTAAAGTAGACTTCTCATGTCTCGAGTAGACTTTTTAAAGACATTAATTATACATAACTTAAAAGTGACAACATTCGCCCTCCTTTGCCAACATTCACCAAGAAGCTCACCATGTGTGCAACCATCTCTTAAGAACAACATTCGCCCTCCTTTGTTATAATCCACCCCGAACTGCCACACTGATTCACTCCTCACCCATTCTCCATAAACAGCGGGTATGTGAACCATTCTATGTAAAAACAAAAAACAAAATCCAAACCACATTAGAAAGCAAAATTGAATAAGTAGACTTCTCTGAAAGTATGATGAAGTCTACTTAGTAGACTTCTCGAGTAGACTTCGCGAGTAGACTTCTTGGAGAAATCTACTCTTAATAAGTTAAATATCATATAAAACATAAAAACTGATTCGACTATACCTATAAATTATAAACATGTAAAAATTATACATAAGCAATAACACTTACTAAAAGAAGCTTAGGATCACGAAAATCTTAAAAATTCGTTATATATTGTATAAAAAATAATTTTTTTAAAAAAAACAAGAAAAGTAGACTTCTCAGAGAAAAGTAGACTTCTCGCGGGTTAGTTTTGCAATAGCCAAAAGATTAGTAGACTTCTTCAAGAAAAGTAGACTTCTCGGAGAAGTCTACTTTTCATGGAGAAGTCTATTCTACAAAGTCAAAGGTTGGTCAATTGCAAAAATGACCTACTTTAAAAGAAATCTACTCGAGAAGTCTACTCTATTTTTTTGTTAACAAAAGAAATGGAGTAGACTTCATTCGGACCAAAAGAAATCTACTTTTTTCATGCGGTCAATTGCAAAACTAACTCGGACGTTGGCTAGTAGACTTCATTTTGACCAAGAGAAGTCTACTTTCGAAGCCAAGAACTGAAAACACTAAAATTGACTGGAAATCCGACTTACCACTCGTTTTTAGCTTCTTTTCTGATCAAGATCTTTGATTCTAGCCACCATGAAAGAAGCACAACCGCAAAAAACAACCAACTCGTCGGAATATAGAAA